CATCACTGGGCCTTCCCAAAGCTGAGGCATTTCATATTTTTACATTAACATTTATTTATGGTGAATGTCAACCTTTATGTTAGATAACATTAGCTGAATTAGAACTTTACAGAGGGGAGAAACATTAAAGTCGCAAAAAGTGGAGAGAGGCAACAGAAGCGTGCTTCAAAGATGTAAAAGTAGCAGACACAAAGGTGGGGTGAGCACTGTGGAAGTGATGGAATATGACATACAGTGGGGTCATGGTAATTTGAAGTCAGAAGTCAACTGCCGGTTTGTAGACATTTTTGCCGTGTGTGCATACGTTGCCCAGGGTGCACCACGTGGAGGTAAGTCTATCACGCACCCCAATTTATGTAAACAATTATGTTCTAGAAATTTAGTTCTGCAAAAGAATGATTTTGAATTTCTAAACGAAATGAGTCAGCTCAATGCATTAATACAGATCGTTTTGTAATTCGCTCTTCTTGCATATCTTATGTATTAAAACTAAACTTTGAAATATGCGACACTGATACTCAAGTAAACATAAGCCTTTTCAGCCCATTTTCGAGTTGAAAGCTAAAAGTGTTTTCATGCGTCTTTATCATGATCTCAGTAGACAACTATTGGTCTTATTTCCTTCACTCTACAATAAATCAAAGTATTTTTCCGCCTTTTCAGTTAAGCAGTCACGCTGTTCGTCCAATCTGAAGCGCATCAGTGGCGTAAAGTTTAAAGAATTTGCTGGGGATTACGAATTACTGGAAGAGATTGGACGAGGCTCCTACTCCCAGGTCTACAAATGCAAACAAATCTCCACTGGCAACATATACGCAGTTAAGGTATCTAATCCCAACATTTCAACTTCTCCCCCTATGTTATATGGTTGGCCTTTTGATCTGTGATGACATTAAGTCGACTAGCTGCCTTTGCATCTACTAGAGAGTGGAAAACAGGGTCACATCATGTTAGTATAATTGTACAATAAATTACCTCCTTGCGAGTAGAAATCAGCGTCATGTTTATAGTTAATATTTGCCTACATTAGCCACTTGAATCCAGCCAGTTAAAGCGGTAGTTATATTATTGATCGATTTTAAATATAGCAAATTGATAAACCTCCGTTCATAGCTCATTCGACTAACCAGATGTGTAAGATGGATATGAAAATTAGAAAGTAAAAGACAACGGATATCCTGGAAGTATTAGACGACCCACTGATGAACGCAGGCAAGATCTATCAGCATCGGACTTCTTTTCCTTGCATGATTAACATGCTGCTAGTTCATTAAACTCTTGAACTGGTAAGTATGTGCAGGAGATAAGGTACACATAGCATGAATGCGTGTTTTGGCAAGAACATTTTAGAGCATGCACAAAGAAGCAATTTCAGTAATGGCCCTGGGGGAGGGGATTGCAACATGAAGTCTATCTGCTGAAAACGCCGGTTGTGTTTGTCTTTTTACCAACTGTTCTTAGTCAACAACAATTGTCGGCAGTACCTGTAAGTCTATTAGTGGGTAGTTAAGCTCCAGAACTCCGATTTGTCAAAGCGAAATAATTATGCAATTTTTGAACTTACTCTTCCGCTACTGAAGCATTAAGCCGTTTAGGTTGCTCGAAATGATTGCGAAGGAAGTAGGTTAGCACTTTCAATCGTGCTAACAATTTTGAATTTTCATGCACAATGATAATGTTTGCTTTAATGGTTTGAAAAAATAGACAGTAATAAGTGTATCACTAAGTGCATTTTTGGATAAATAACTTATTTCAAATGACAGGCGTTTTAATGGTTATCATTAGTACTTTAGCTAACTTCGGGTTTCACAGAGGGGAGGAACATCAAAGTGAGAAAAATTCGAGAGGGGGAAAGGAAGAGTGTATCACAGATGTAAAAAAGACAGTCACTAAAGTAGAGAAAAATGTAAGGTAAAGTGAGTACAGTGAAAGTGGTCGTATATGACATATAGTCTGATCATGTTAGTGCCAATCCAAAAAATGTAATTTTGATGACCTAAAAACTCATTTTAAGCAATTGTGCAATTTTCTCTTCGATTACACAGAAACTAGTATGGACTTAGGGGTCAATAAATAGAGTTTAATCGCAATCATCAAGGTGAAGTATACGTTTCTGCTGGATATTTTTACAATGAACTTTATTTGTAAAAAAATGGAATCACTAACTTACATTAAGACCACTAAAGATTTTGTCTTTTTCTTAAATGTGAAAACTAATACCTATTTCGGCAATTAAAGGTGACAAATAATCGTTATTGTATTGGGCTGTGTCAATCAAAGTTGATTCATACCACCTGCGAGTCAATTTCGCCAATGTAAAACAATATTCGCGCCTTAAAATTGCAAGGCTATAGCAAAATTTTGATGATTAAAACTTTAGAAATTCTGATAATCACTTTTTTTCGAATGTCGCTAAACTAGAGGCAACTTCCCTTATTGTTGTTTTGCCCTTACTTGTGATTTGTGGGTTCGTTATTTAAGAGCAATCGAGTCGATTTAAAATTGGATTTCACAACCAAGGTCCTTTCGACTGAAACGCGCAGTTTAAATCAGTCGTGATGTGCTACTTGGGCACCTCTTTTATATAACCTTAGAAAACCATCTTTCCAACCCAGTAACCTGTAGTTATGTGTTCGTCAGAAATAATGACATTGAAACCATGCTTAACTATTACAAAAGCAGTGCCTTCAGGGACAAAATTATTTATTTATTCATTTCAAATGGCAGGCGTTTTGATATTTATTATTAACCCTTTAGCTGACTTCGGGCTTCACAGAGAGGAAAGTCGAGGGGTGGGGAACAGAAGAGTGGTTTACAGTTGTAAAAGAGACAGACACGAAAGCAGAAGAAAGGTATGATGAGTACTGTGAAAGGGGTAGAATATGGCATACAGTGGGGTCATGGTAGTTTGTAGTGAGAAGCCAACTGCCGGTAAATAGACTTTTTCCGTATGAGTATACGTTGCCCTGGATGCATCACTTGGAGGTAAGTCTATCGCACACCCAGGGACAGAATTATTGGAACGCTTTCTTAGTCTCTAGGATGACGCATTCAAGAATGATTTGAATTTCAATGTTAGGCTCTTATGTGTGTGTTCTTTGTCCAAATTTCAGCATTGTCGGGAGTTTCCGAAAGTTCGCCCACCCGAATTTCCCGTTTAACCGCCCTGGGTGGATTTTCGGAAAACTTCAGGAACTAGGTGTTCTCCGGCGTAATTATATTTCAGACATAGTCTGAACAATGACGAAAGATAATACTCAATGGTTGTGCGTGCAATTATATGGTTCTGGAATCAGTTATTTGCTGCAGTCCGTCTGATTAAGGCGTTGTGGAGTAATGGAGAAATTTCATTCCCAAGCAAAAGTGCGAGTATAAACTTTCATCGAACATGCCATTGGCTATTGTTGGATGTTCCTGTCTCATGACTACTTCATGACTACTCGGGTACAGTGGGAATAATGTTGGAATGGGAGGTAATTAGTGAGAAGGTTAAGGTACATCAATTGCCAATTGCAGGCAAAATTACGCATTTTGGTCTCAGTGATTAATAGCTACGGGAGACTGATTGTATATGCATATTTCCAAGCCCTTTTGCATTAATTCGTGGCTTGTTCACGCAGTTATGTGGAAAGTGGCATTATTGTCTGGTTGTAAATGATTTTTTTCGCAAAATGTTACCTTTTCAAGCACTTCATATAATTTGCGCTCTTGAATTCTTTTTACTGCATGGGTGTACTTTGAGGTGAATAGTACAAAAAGTGAAATGATGCTTAGCAGCAATAATATCTCGATTTATTGCAACTGAAGGGCACGATAGAAAGCTGTGATGAGGCGGGCGGGGGGGGGGGGGGGGGGGGNGGGGGGGGTGGGGGGAATTTCAGGAATGTAAGAATTTCTCGAAATTTCATTAAAAAAATCGATATTATATTTCATCGCTCTCTTTTTTGCCCGCCTTCAAGATAATCGACGAAATGCAGCAAGATCCAACCGAAGAAATCCAAATTCTTCTGCGATTCAAAGGAGTTCCCAATATTATTACTCTGCGCGATGTAAGTTTGTCATTTGATGTAACATGACAAATGATTTGATATCGTGTACTAACCAATCAAGAGAAGGTCTATTAAAATGCCACTCATATTCTATCTCCATCCGTGTGGGATTATAAACCTGGGTCTAGACATCAAAGGCCTCATGACATCTGTCAATTTCAATAAAATAATGGAAAAGGCATGAGTTATGTAAATTAAAGAGGCCATAATTTCAGTATAAATTCTTACTTCTCAATTCCATAGAGAAATATAGCTGAAATTTTTCAACACAGTTTCTGATGTTGGTGCATCGATTATGGTCCCAACTTAAGGGGTTTTTTGCTTTCAGCAATCCTTATTCTTACTTATTGTGCAATCCCCATTGCCTGGAGCACTTCAAATGGAGGCCACCAATTTTTTGCTCCTCTTGAGTAGTCTATATGAATTGATAGATCCACTTTTGCCGATGTGTCTCGCAATAATTTTTCATGCAACTAAAACTCCACATTACCTATTTACGTAAGTAGGAAATTAAAGCCTCTATGTGCGTGTGTGTGTGTGTGTGTGTGTGTGTGTGTATCTTAAATGTGCCAAACATACTTTTTAGACTATTAATTAGGTGTGAATTAATGGAGCTTTGACGGAATGAAATGATCTTAGGGAAGATATGACGTTATATTAAGCAAGGAGTTTGTTATTCTATCGTAAAGGACGTCTATTTGTTTCGAATCTCGTATTGAAGGCATTAATAGTATGTTTGTACACCAAATTATGATTTTGACTTATTAGCCAGCTATATATGGGAGTGAAGGGAAGATTGTAGGATAAGGGCTTCTTTTCACTTTGATAATCCACAGATAATTGCTCAAATCTTTTGCTATCAATTATTTGCATCTGCTAAGTTCTTTTAGTTTTCGCACAATTGTTCTACGAGCTGTTAGTCCTTAATCAAACATTGCTTTCATAGTGCCAGACTTAAAAAAAAATATGGTCAAACATTTTTGTTTGTTTAAATTTGCAAAATATTTTCCCGCGTTAACTCTTATCACAACTTTGGGTGGGCGCATATACCTTAGTGAAATACTGCCAGATCTTTAAAATGACAGTGAAACTTATTTTTTAAAAAAAACTTTTTTTCTAATGACCGATGTCCTTAACCTGTTTGTGCCTAAACGGAACGAGTGACCACTTCAGGTATGACCCTATAGTGCCTTGATGTCCTGAACCGTGTATATTTCCAATTTAAACGACCTGAATTTATCTTGTTCTACGAAAATACTGCTACCTTGTGCATTGGCTAAATGCTGAATTGTCCATGAAAGAACTTGGAACAACACAGTATCATATCCTGCCCTCTTTTCTCTTTTTCAGAATAGGATATTTTCTGGAAGTACCTTCATTTGAGTTAATTAAGGTATACAAGTCTTAGTGATGAGTTTTAACCATATTGTTTCTGGTGTCGGAATAGAATATTACTTTTCGCCTTCTCATAGTTTTTTTGTTAAACTATGATTTGATCTTTGTGTCGAAGTTCAGATCAGCCCTAATACTCTATAATTAGGGTGCCTTTTATGAAAGCCTGATCATTGGTTCCTCCTAGAACTGATAGGCTAACGGCTATGCAAGAATGAAAGAATAAGAATTTTATCCATTTTCGCATTCTGTGGCAGATTCAAATGAGTTTTTAAGAAGAGATGAAACGGAATTAGTGGTGGTCTCATCCCTCGGACTCTACAGAGGGAAGTATTTATTTATATCAAATGACAGGCGTTTTGATGGTTATCATTAGCCCTTTAGTTGACTTCGGCCATCACAGAGGGGAGGAGCAACATCAAAGTGAAAAAAGTCGAGAGTTGGGGGGGGGGGGGAATAGAAGATTGTTTCAAAGATGTAAAAGAGACAGACACAAAGACAGAGAAAAGGTAAGATGAGTACTGTGAAAGTAGTCGAATATGATATACAGTGAGGTGTTGGTAATTTGAGTCAGAAGTCAACTGCCGATTAATAGACTTTTTGCCGTATGAGTATACGTTACTCAGGGTGCACCACGTTGAGGTAAGTCTATCACACACCCCATAGAGAGAAGTTTAAGGTAGCGTCAAACAAAGGCTTTAAATTTGAAATGAAGATAAGAACATTTGGTCCTCACATTGCGACCATTTTTCTCTATTTTCTTCATAGAGGCAGCTCAAAGTATGAAAATGAATTGGTAATAGCAGATGTTAAGGTTACAAGTTTAGTCTCAGAAACAGGCAGAACATTCCTTCAAATGTACAACGAAGTTAAATTAGCATCAAGCTTCATTTCAAAATTTGGAATGGTATAATAATTGACGGTGACTTAAGTGGCATAGTCTTTCGAAACAGACACCCGAAAATTGGAATTTTGACGTAAATGCCTTTCTAAACTCTTGGAATGTTAAATGCACGAAATACTACGAGTTGGCAAGAAGGCAGTGTGTTCTTTCAACTTAGCACTCTTCAAAATGTACATCAAATTTCTGTGGTCACCTAAACCTCAGTCAACTTTATTACAATAAAATTATTATTGAAACAGCATTTATTGCATGCTTTAACAATTTTCCTTTATAAGATGACCTCAAAGTGTCAAAGGTGCAATATTACTTTTAGCTAATTCAAGGTCATTTTGAGGCATAGTGATATTGTTTTACCAACAGATTTGGCTCAGACTTGTTTAACCTATTGTTCATTGTTATTCATTTTAGATTTATGAATGTAATAGCAAAATCTACCTGGTCACGGACTACATGTCTGGAGGTGAACTTTTGGATAAAATTATGCGCCAAAAATCATTCACAGAAATGGAGGCTTGTGCTATTGTTGAAGTTCTTGCCTCTACTCTTAATATTCTCCATAATCAAATGGTTAGTTTCCATTGGCTTGTAATGCCTAAAACGGCTCCTTCTCCCACTTGATCTCCCTAGGTGTTCTAACTTGTAGGTAGTCCATCGTGATCTAAAACCATCAAACATTCTTTACGCAGATGCGAATGAGTCACCGAAAAGTCTCTATATTTGTGATTTCGGATTCGCCAAGCAGCTTAGAGCGGAAAACGGTCTGCTCATGACCCCTTGCTACACGGCCCAATTTGCTGCTCCGGAGGTATGTGCTTGATCTCTGAATAGTTTGCTACTTACAGCACTTCAGTAATAAGCATTTACTGTTTTCTTTTACAGGTTTTGAAGATGCAGGGCTATGAAAAGGCATGCGATATTTGGAGCTTGGGTGTTATCCTTTATACCATCTTATCTGGGCGAATACCCTTTGCAACTGGTCCGAACGATCCTCCTGACGTTATTCTTCAAAGAATTGAAATGGGACCACCTCAGTTGAAAGAATCCTGTTGGAATTCTATATCAAACGAAGCAAAGGTATTTATATGATTCCATCGAAGGTAGAATTCAAAAATCGGAATATATGAAATGACTATCTTTTATAGCAATTGGTCCTCAGCATGCTAAATGTGGATCCTAGTCAACGACCAACAGCTGCTGAGATATTGAGTGATCCTTGGATCAAAAATCGAAATTCTCTTTCCAAAAACCCACCATATTCCCTTCAATTACCCGACGCTCAAACTGTTAAGGTAAGTCCCGGATTCCCACTGCAAATTGAGACGGTAAATCTCTTTAGCACAAGTGTCATATGAGGTTTATTTTCAAAGGACAAGAAATAGTGAAAAAAGAGTAATTCTTGAGGTTTTCGAATAATTTTCATTTCAAAAGGGCCCTCGGGACGGGCGATTTGGTGAAAGTGGTAGTATACAAGGAGAAACAGATATAAAGTGGTTATCACTTTTGAAAATTTCGGATGATATTATCCTAGTCACAATCCTAGATATGACATGCCGTGAGCATTGGCGTTAAATCATCCAATTTAGGCCTAAATATAGTCTAGTGAGTCATTCAAATTTGAGTTTGTATTCTCATTTCTATTCAGGAAAGTTCCACTTGAGTAAATTACAAAAGCGCATTTGTTCTTTTATCTTAAACTTTATGGTCCAGCGTGCTCTGCTGAATGGGCATCAAAGAACAAACCTTTCTAGTTAATCCCAACTAACGGGTGTGGAACAGTCGTCTGATAATTCAAGCTAGATTTACTGGGAAGCCTATCATCTCCTATTAAGTATATTTGAATTAAATCTTGAAATGCAAAATAAAGCCAATGTCTATCACAACTTTTATCTACTTCCTTTAAAAGCTCCAGTCCGAACGTACTAGCAAGCCTCTCAGGGTGACGTTTTAGGGTAGAGATTCTTGCGTCAAGTGAAGATAAATTTAAATATCGGTTTCGAGAGGGAAATTAACTTATTTAAATTAAATGTTATTACTTCATACAATATTTACTTACTTCCCTACCCACGTGGTATCTTAGTTAGTTGGATTGATCAATGTCGGTAGAGAGTATTATTGATCCGAAATGCTTGATAACTCTGTTCTTCAGTTTCATATATAATCTAAATGGGATCTACCTTAGTATAAGCTATCGAGGTCAATTTAAATCGATAGACAACTATTAAATGTATTTTTCCTATATTTATAGGCCACAGTAGTGGGATTCTTTAAAGCCTTGAAATCGAGTCCAAAAACTGAATTGGAACCTGTTGGATCATCGTTCTTGGCCCAACGACGGGCAAAATCCAAGACCCTTCCTGGTGACGGTAGCAATAGCAGCACCTGAATCCTTCTCACCAACACACTCACTTGTGTCCAGGGCTTATTTGTGAATTGAAACAATGAAACTGCCCACTTCCTCTCTCCCTCTCTTTATCTGTGATGAAACCTTGATCTGCGCTGAATTATTACCTAATTATACTTCCCCTCCATTTTTGAATACATATTTTGCAATAACACCCTAGTAGCCCGCATTCAAATGAGTCCTAACTTATTCTTCCATGTAGAAACTTAAATTAAATTTTGAAATCGAGCACATGTCGCCTTGATCAAAATGTGGTCATTGCTTATTTTTGGATTGCATTTAAAAGAAACCTCTTGGATGGAATACTTCCAATAAACCGTCATTCAGTAGTCAAATGAAATCTAGCCAAGTCATTAAGGGGGTTATTTAATAAGAAATATAAATTTCCACCCAAATGGTTGAAGTTTCATCATCTTCTTAAAAAAATACCATTGCGTTTAGCAAATGATTAGTTAAATTGGAAAGTGCAACATATGGGGGGGGGGATGGTTAAATATGGAGAATTCGAAATATTTATTTATAAAAAATGGCAGGCGTTTTGATAGTTATCATTAGCCCTTTAGTTGACTTCGGGCTTTGTAGAGGGGAGGAGGAACATCAAAGTGAGAAGAATTCGGGAGGGAGAATAGAAGAGTGATTCACAGATGTAAAAGAAACAGACAGACACAAAAGCACAGAAAGGGTAAGATGAGTACTGTGGTAGGGGTCGAATATGACATACAGTGGGGGTGACGGTTGTTTGAAGTGAGAAGTCAACTGCCGGTAAATAGACTTTTTGCCGTATGAGTATACGTTGCCCAGGGTGCATCACAAGGAGGTAAA